ACGCTCCATACATAGCATTTGACAAAATTTTTTCTCATTTTTATATTGAGTTTTTTGTTTGTAAGTAGCTGCCGTTTTTGCATAAATGCTCTCTTTGCCATAGCTATTCTTTGTCTAATTTCTATTGAGCATCTACCATCGCTAGTAATCGTACTTCCTAGATACTTAAATTGTTGAACCTGCTCAATTAAGTTATTATCTATTTCCAACCTCACTAAAGGAATTTCTTTTGCTTTAGTCACCACCATTGACTTTGTTTTATTTGCATTTATTTTCATTTGATACTCCTGCAATATTTTAGTGAGGGTGGTTAGAGATTTTTGCATGTCTTTTTCCGATTCAGACACTAAAGCAATATCATCTGCAAATCGTATACAATGTATCTTTTCTCCATTTATGCTTATTCCTTTAGAGTTTCTCTTATACTTGTCTATGATTTCTTCTACAAATAAATTGAACAGATAAGGTGATAAGGAACAACCTTGTCTTACCCCTCTTCTAATTTTTGCTGTTGCACTATGTTCTCCTACCTCTAGTAAGGTCTCTTGTTTCTTGTATAGTAACATTATTACTCTTCTGTCCCTCCAATCTATTCGAGTTCTTTTCATAGAGTTCATCAATAAAGCCCAGTTAACTGTGTCAAAGGCTTTTTCTAGATCTATAAAAGTTATAAATGTATTTCTATTTACATTTAACCTTCTTTCGGTGAGTACCCTTAGAGCTAAAATTGCTTCTCTTGTACCAACTCCCTGTCTAAACCCGAATTGGTCTTCATCAAGCTCCTCTTCGGTTTTTGTCCTTATCCTATTTTTTATGATGATAAGAAGTATTTTGGACGCATGTGTTAAGAGATTTATTGTTCTGTAATTCTTGCATTCTGTGGAATTCCCTTTTTTAGGGATAAGTACAATTTTGCTTTTGGCAAAGTCCTCCGGAATGTTGCCATCCCTATACATTTCCTCAATCATTTCATATAGCTTATTTTCGGTATCTTTTCCGACGTTTTTTAATAGTTCTGCTGGGATGTCATCTACTCCTGTCGCTTTACCTTGTTTCAATTCACTTAGTGCTTTAATAAATTCGCTTTTTGTTATATTTGGCCCTATGTCTTCTCTGTTTGACTCACTTATATTTTCAATATTTATGTCATTTTCTCCTATACAACCTTTATACAAATCTTCTATGTACTCTTTCCATCTCGTCACTATTCCACCTTCATCTAAAATCAGTTGTCCATTCATATCCTTAACAATTTTGCTTCTTGGCTTCGGTAATCTTGACAATCGTTTAATCATTCCATATGCTTTGTCCATTCTATTTGCAGTCATATTTGCTTTAATTTTTTCACATGTTATATCCATCCATTTCTCCTTTTCATCTCTGCACTTTTGGGTAATACGGTTCTTTATTATTCTATACATCGAATCATCAGTCTTCCTTAATTTATTGCGGTATTTTATTAAGTCCATTATCTCATTCGTTATCCATGGTTTCCTTGGATTTAGTTTCCTAAATCCAATTGATTCTTCGGCAGCTTTCCGAATATTATTAACCACTTTTTCCCATGGTGGGTCGATACCCTCAGCTATCACTCCGTTATGAACCTTGTTTTGGAACTCTTGCCTTGTTTCTTCATTTTTAAGTTTTTCTATGTCCCATATTTTACATTTGGGTCGCTTTGTAATTTTCTTGTGTATTATTTTGTACTTCATCACTACTAGGTTATGATCGCTATCGATTTCCGCGCCAGGAAAACTGTGACTTGTCATTATTTGGTTCTTGAAACGGCTCTTTGCTAACACATAGTCAATTTGGTAACGATTAGTATCCCCTGGTGCTACCCATGTATAGCGTCTTCTTTTTGGTACTTCAAACATTGTGTTGGAAACTAGAAAATTGTTCTGCTTACAAAAATTGACTAATCTTTCACCTCGGATGTTTCTTGTTCCTAAGCCATGTTTGCCTACTATTTGATTGTCTTGTCCTTCTCCTACTACCGCATTGAAATCGCCCATAATAATTACATTATCGTTATCTCGAGTTATTCCTAGCAGTTCATCTAGAGAATCATACACTTGTTCGATTTCGTCGTCTCCACTATTCGAGGTTGGAAAGTATACCTGGATGACTATCATGTCTACTGTGGATGTCTTTAATTTTATTAGTAATATTCTATCATTCACATGATAGGTATTTTCTACTTGCAGTCCCCATTCTTTGTTTAATAGTATTCCAACACCGTTTTTCCCTTGTTTATCTCCACTATGTATCATTCGAAAATTATCACTCCAGAAATCTCCGTTGTCACCCCATCTAGTTTCACACACTCCTAAAATATCAAGCTGTTTAAGTGTCATTTGTTGTTTAAGTTCTTCAAATCTTCCTGGTCTTAACAACGTTCTCACGTTCCACGTTCCTATTTTAGTTGGAATTGTTTTATTTTTGATTTTATTTTCAATGTTTTGTCTTGTGCTTTGGCATGGATTTCGCTGGCTGACGACCTGAGAAGCCATGCTCTGTCTCCCCCTGCTGGACTCCGGGTTCCGAATCCCATCGTCTCGTTTTATATCATTCATATGGTTGACCTTCATTGCTTGATGTTTGGGAAAATTAATGCAGTGGTTTCCCGTTGCCTTCTGCATCGCAATGACATCTCTTATTAATAAGGGATGCTATTCAAGTATAGATAAATCTATACTTGATACTAACAATGTTGCTGCCCATTGTTAGGTCCATTTTGGTCGACTTTTACGACGGGCATGGACTGCCGTGGGTGTATTCTGTCCCCCACCCACAGGGAATTGTAAGAATTGTAAGAACATTTATAACTATGTTATTACCACTTACATTACACACGTTTTATTTCTATTTATTTAATTCGTAATACATATTAATTAGCATAGAGGGAGATACTGATGTGACAATTCTACTCGTCTGTAGCCCGGTGCTACTGACGTCGAACTAACAAAGGGCAGTTGTGTTTGAGTGGCCGTTATAAACATAGTTTTCAATATTATTACTTTCGTCTTATTTATATTATTTATAACTTAACTTTTTTTAATCAACGACCCGTTTATCGCCAATTGTCATCATAGCCAACCAACTCCGTCTCACTTGGATATACCTACTAACCAACTGTACTAGGATTCAGGTCAGACGTATTGTACATTACATATAACTTATATTTACTAAACATCTAAAATATAACTTTACTTTGTCGTTGACATAAAACAATAGTCTAATTTTATCTAATAATCTATCCCCTGTAACTAAGGTACACGATTGCCTGTGTCTCCTTCAGGCAATTAAAACTCATTTAAGGAGATAGGGACGATATTTGGGCAGACGTCGGGTAGCTTCCGATTCTTGGTTTTGACCAAGATCCTCAACTATTAAACAAACCCCTAACACAATCAAAACAAGACAGATACTTATTATCACCTTCCCTTATTTAATGCTTTTTGTGGTACCTAGAAGACGCTGAGACAGACAATGACTCATGGCTACTTTGTAGTTGCCAAAAGTCAATACCATAAGTATAATCGTGTTAGCATATTCTTTTCTGTGGTCTTAGAAATACAAGAGGTATTGATTTTATTAATATTCCAAAGGAGAATATTACAGTATTGTTTATGCTAAATTCTCTTTAAATTCTTAAAATATTGTATTCTTTGACCTATAATACAATTAAAATAAATAAGTATTGTTTATACTAAATTTATTTATAATTGGCTTATACATTTTTTTAATGAATTTTTACAATTAAGTTTCCTTGACAATTAGATGTAAATGTTGATTTTATCGACATTTCAGTTCACTTCGTTTTTTCCCGTGAAAAATAAACTATCGTCTTGTGTAATTATTAAGATTTATTTAATTAGTTATTGATATGGCAGGTGAAAAAAATATTTTTGGTCAAACAAATGAATCAAACTTACATAAGGTTATACGCAGAGTTGAAGAAATATGGAATCGTCGTTTCATGCATTCCAATTGTGTTTTAAATAATACAAATAAAGGACAAATATCAAAAAAGTCATCTAAAGATGAAAGAATTATCTGTAAACACTATTAAGATTAATAATTAAACTAACTATTTCGAATAGAGAAAAAGTTTTTTAATATAAAATATAAGAAAAATTAATAATAAGTTCTCTTATTCATATATAACAATAATTCAGTCGCTTTACTTTAATTTAACTATTTTAATATTAAAAACCTTTTTCGAAATTGATTATTTAATTAATAATTATTAAAATTATATTCAATTTGCAGCAATTATTAATAAAAATATTTATCCTATAAAAAATTCCATTATTCCAAAAAAACGCACGTATCGAAAAACGAATAAAAATGATAAAATTATTCCAGAAAAATTGGTAACTATAATTATATTAATATATTTATTCGATTTAGCTATGTTATTGAGATTTGTCTGATTCAAAAATATAAAATAAACTATCAACCCCCTTAATATAAATGCGGTAACATAATGTTTAATATTATTCTGCTATTTTTTCTATTAGATTTTTATGGGAAATTCAATTTTTATCGAAGATAATAATATAATATTAAGTATAGTTTATTTGTTTATTTAAATATCTCTTTGGTTACCTAGAATATGATGCAGCAAAGAGAATTCGGAACACTTTTTCAGAATGAAAAATCTGAAAAATATAAAAATGAAATTTTAAATTCAACAGAAAAAAAAAATATAGCAATTTCAAAAGACAATCCGCTATTAATATCAGCTGATTTGTTAGAAAAGGTATATTTTATTACGCTTTATTTCAATAAAAAGATTTTAGGGTATACCCTAAACCATTTTTTGGACTTAAAGCAGATTTCTTAAATAAATTTATCATATAATTAAATATATTTTTATGATCCGTTAAGAGTTTTCATAAGAAAAATTTGGAACGCAAAAAATCCGAAATAAAAAAACAACTTTTTGAGTTATCTTCTAATACTAATGCTCGACCAAATTTAAAAAGAAAGTCATCCGAAGAAGATGAAAAAGTCATAAAAAGTATACAACTTTTAAAATATAATTCATTTTTAAAAAATATGAAGTTTTGATTTTTGAAACAAATATGTAATATTTTTAAACATAAATTATTTTAGAGCCAAAAGTTAGTTCTAATCCTTTGACCTTAAATACGCCGAATGACGTAAATTTACTTGCTCTGTCCACTATTGAAGTAATAAAAGTACCAGAGAAAGAAAAAGGTAATTAGTTATTTAATCTATTTATTTTATGTAAAATTAAATAAAAAAAGATTATTTATTAAACATAATTAATTATAATAATACGAGTTAAATTAATATAACTTCTGCAGAGGCGTGTCATTAAGGGGGTCCATGGACGTTTTAAACAAAAGTAATTATATGTGTTTAATTTCATATTCCAAAGCCTTAAATAAACCTAAATAATAGTAAACTGTTCAACAAAGTCTTTTATTAATTTTATGAAAAATGTTTAAATATGGTTACACTTGCAGAAGTAATGCAAGATCAGAACACAAAATCTCTTGATCAGTATAATGCACCTTCATTTAAATCGCCCACATCATGGTATACTTCAGACACAATTAANCCCCACATCTTGGTATACTTCAGACACAATTAATGAGTACATTAAAATGATAGTAAAACGGTCAGAAGGTGAAGTTTATGCAGTTGTCACTGATTTTATTGTAGCGTATCTTCGAGGAGGTTATCCAGCTGTAAGAAGATGGATAAAAAAAGATATTCACACAATAAAATTACTTTTTGTGCCCATGAATGTATATGAGAGTCATTGGATATTTACAGTGGTTAATATACCTGAAAAGACTGTGACATCATATGATAGTCTTAAGTCGTATGAGGGTCCCTATCCAATGGTATTAAAAAATTTCTTAATTGAATGGGAGATGGACAAAAAAGGAAAAGCTTCTACATGGACATTACAAATAGGCGAGACATCTCGCCAAACCAATGGACATGATTGTGGGCCATTTACTGTTGAGCTGGCAGAAAAAATGTCTCGAGGAGATACAACACCAATAAATGCAAATTTTATGCCTTTTATAAGATTAAGACACAAAAATGAAATTATTGCTGGCGAGCTATTCAATTAATATTTTTATGAATGAAATTTTATTTTTGTATTTTATATCAATTTTCTTAATATTCACTATAAATTGAAATTTTTATTTGTATACCACCAAACATTTTTTTACTTTTTCTATGTTTAATTGTTGTTTTGTTATTTTATTTTAATCTTATTTTTCTTTGTAACATTTCATTTAAGAAATTCAAATTTAATATAAATTTATCTTAACTGAAATAATTTAATGTTCTTGTTATGTGAATATACAAATATTATAATATACAGTTATGGATACAATTAAGTTAAAAAGTCAGCCAATTATAAATTTTTAAATTAACAAGCATATCTACTATCTTAACAACTTAATTTTAATTTTACTAAATGACGATTCATAAAGAATTTCATAACTTTTGTTTATTTTTTAAATACTATTTTAATTATAAAAAATTCTTTTCTGTATTTTTTATGAATGCGGTATATTGAATAGGGGTAACTAAACTTATTTGTTTATAATTCTCTAAACTGATAAACTATAAAAAAAATTTAAAAATGAACTACAAGTTCCGAATATTTCCGTTGTTATTATATTTTTGCTATGGGTATTTTTGTTATCTAAATGACCCAATGAAATCCAAATAATTTCTAGAAATCTCTGATAAAATGTAGATAAATACGTGTCGTCGAATCCTATCAAATTATCTTCAATTTTGTTATTTATTTAAAATACCATTTATTTTATAGTAAATAAATATAGTATATTATAAAAAAAGTTAATACCAATATATTAGGCATTTTTTTAAAGTCGGGTGGAGTCCAGACATGGAGGACACCCCCACAAAATACGCCACTGTGCTACGCTGATCTTAAGCTGCTATCTTCTTTCATTACATAATATAATACAACTTATAAATAGTTAAATTATTGCAAAAACCGAAATTAATGATAAAATTTCTATTTTAGAGTTGAAAAAAATAATTTTCTTAATTAATAATAATTAGTTATTAATTAAGTAAGTATTGAAAAAATGTTTAAAATATTAATAAAAATTATATAACACATAAAGAATGCGGAAAAAATTTCGCTATTGAAATTTATTTTCCATTTTTTTCATTTTACGGTTACTTTTTATCATGTTACATTTACATTAGACACAATGTTATAAATGAGTATTTGTGTATGTGTCAGTTTATTTATTTATTGTATCATTAAAGTGTAATGTATATGAAGATACAACTAATAGAGTAGGTAATTGATTTGACGCTATATTGTTTAAATCCAACTAAACGCTAAATTGTACATTCCCAAACAACAATCATATTATGTCAATTGCCACCGGAATATCAGGTAATCTTTTTTTTTTCTTTGCCTTAATTCCAACTACTTGGGGTCAGCCACCCTTATCCTAAATTTCCACTTGACACCATCTCCCACACCTTCTACGCTCACATCAGCTGTCCTCATATCGCATTCAATAATATTCCTCAATCTCTTTTTTGGTTTTCCTCTACCTCTTCTTTCTTCAAAATTCATTTCTATAACTGTTCTTACAGCTTCCGATTTTTCTCTCCTCATAACATGACTGAACCATCTAAGTCTATTTTCTCTCAATTTAGAGTTCAGTTGGGTTTAAACAATATAGCGTCAAATCAATTACCTACTCTATTAGTTGTATCTTAATATACACTACACTTTAATGATACAATAAATAAATAAACTGACACATTAGGGTAGTCCTTAGCTTATAGGTGTAGAATTTTTTTTTTCGAAATTTGATCGGGCCACCCCCCAGATTTGTTCTAAACTATAAAAAAATGGTTCATACTTAATTTCGTTAATTTTGGTCAACCCTAAGCCGTGCCTCAAGAGGGTTGAAAACTCGGTAATAAGGGTAGTTTTTCAGTTATTGTGGTTTATCTCAAAAACTATGACATTTACGTAAACGTTTATAAGAAAAAAATTGTAGATATTAATATTCTAAATAATAAAGTTCATTACTAAAAAAGTCGTAAGTCAAGTATTTACCTCGTAAAAGTTAAAAGTTCAAACATTTTTTAAAAAAGGTGTTTTTCAGTTTTTTGCGATTAAATCCGAAAGTATTAACTATAGAAAAAAATAACTTATTATAAAATGTTTTTAAAATTAAATTTACAATAATATTTGTTATAAGTGTTTTTCTCATAAAACGACTCATTCTATCACAAAATAACAAAAACTCGGTTTTATACTATAATAAATTTTATATTGACAAAATAATAGATTATTTTGGCTTATTTATAAGAAAAATAAAAATAACACACTTCCAGTACATATTAGCTTGAATGTGAAACTGAGAAAGTATTTATTTATTTTTTTATGTGTTATAAAAAATATTGTAATTTTAATAAATGCAAGGTTAAAATTTCGCTATAAAATAAATAATATTAAAATTCTCTAGAGAGAGTACTTCTTTTTGCATCAGGATATTTCTTACGATAGTCATAAACCGATTGTATTAAAAATTGTTTTTGTTCTTCATCTTTAGTAATTATTTCATTGAAATTACTTATTAATTGAACTCCTCGTTCAGCTGCATCGTTGATGACTTTCAACTGATTAAATAAAGATTTACCTTTTTGGTAATTATCATTTTCATTCCAATCTAACGGATTTTGGTTCAAAAAATCGGTGGCAATGTTAAATCTTTCAAATAACTTTATCGATGAACTATTTATAAATTCATAAATTTGTTTATTTTTTAGAGACGCATAATTATTTATTGGAACAACATAACGCTTAATTACATTTGCATTGTCATCGTGATTTTTTAGTGACTGTACCATTTTTAATTTCATTGATAAAGGAATATTTGAATCAAAAAACGATAATCCTGCTACTTCGGGAGTTAGGTACCACAAGTGACCACAAAATTTTTTTAATGCAATTTTTGATATATTTTTATCTATTTTTTCATATTCAATCAAACAATGAACAAATGAAAGATCTTGATAAGGTGCTTCAATTGCAACATGTGAGCGAAACCATCTTTCAATATAAACACATATTATAAATATACAAATATCTCGACATGCTCTTTCTTGTTCTGCGGTCATATGAAATTGTTTTCTAAAAATATATATTTTTAGGCAATATATCGCTTTGGACATCCATCGGGCGTGATGGAATGCTCCCGGAACTCGAAACAATATACTGCGATGTGGGATTCCTCCTAGGAAAATTATAGACAGTTCTAATAGCTCTCTATAATCTTCTCTAAACTGTTTTTCTTTTGAAATAATTAGCGAAAATTCAAGTACACGTTGTTTGGCATCGCATAATTTTTCACTAACATATTTATCTTCTATACCTGGATTGAATTTATTTGTATTTATGTTACTCCAGCCTTCTTGGAATTTTTTAAAAAGTTGAACATTAGGCCCTGAGGTTGAACCAAATTTTTCTTCGAAAATACTTTTTAAAACAATTTCATAAATATGATGTCGACAAAGTAAATACAACAAATCTTTTTCAAGACGTTGTTCTAATAATATACATGTGCCTTTTAATCTACCGGTGTTTGAAGACGTAGTATCACAGCAAACAGCTACAACTGAGTTTTTTAGGCCCCATTCTTCAATTGATTCATATACTTTTATAGCCTGTTCCTCTCCAGTTCCTTCTGATAATTTTGGTACACCTAGAAGTTGTTCATGATCCCCACTAGAAATAATTATTGGTAATCGGTCAACAAGATCTTTTGAAGTTAACGAAGGAAGCAATTTGCCATCCCAGTGTACGACTGCATTACTAAATAAGCTAATTTGAAAATTTTCACGTAAATTTAAAGCTCGTTCTTTACGTAACTTTTCACGTTCTCTATGTATTGACGAACGATTTATTACCAAACTATCAACGTTTTGACCAAATGCTTCAGCCGCTGCCATAAGTAAATGAGTGGCGTCTCTGTCACTGATCATACATCTATCCAATGCAGCTACAAGTTTGTTAGTGAGAAACTGTTTTGAAGCTCGTTTACTAGTAGATGGACCAGGTTCACATAATGTTTTCTCAAAAATTAAATCATCATTGGTCGACATGATTTGACTATCATCGTCAGTGTCACTTTCTGACGATCCTGAATAAAACTTAACTGTATCATCTGCAATTATTATTCATAAACAATATAATATAATAGAACATTTATAAGTTAATTAAACACTTACACGATGCTTTTATTTCATCATAAGTACGTTTTTTTCTTTTTTCTGTTTTTTCAAAGCGTAAATACTTTTTTTGTTCAGCTTGATATGAATCATAATCGATTCCACTCAACGATCCCGGACGACCTTTTTCACGTTGACGAATTAAAAATTGTTTATCCAACTCAATACTCATCAGATTCATAGCGTCAGCATGTGCTATATCAAAAAGGTCGTCAAATTTATCGATAAAACAATTTTCTTTTTTTTTT